GTGCAAAATCGAATCAGGGTCTAATACCGTCACCTCGAGGTGCTCACAGCGCAGTGATGCGGTCTGGTATAATGATTGTCTGGGGTGGTTATTCAGGAACCACTCTGTCAGATGCAGATGCTCATTTTTATGACTTTAAAGCTAACGCATGGGTTGACTCAAAGACAGCATCTACAGTTCTCGCCTCAAATAACTCAACGTCCAATCGTCCATCATTGGGAATTATTATTGGCGTTGTTATTGCTGGCGTCATAGTAATAATAGGTATAATAAGTTTCTTTATTATGCGCAAATGCAGATCAAGAAAAGTTCTAGATGACTGTGAAGTCCAAAATGACCCTTACATTCGTCCCGGTGGTCAGCTTGGTAGCAATCTTGATCTTCCAACTAATGACGAAGATAAGAAGACTCAAACAAAGGATATGTCAACTTTTGAACCGATAACTTTAGAATCAATACCACCACCTTCAACACCACTAAATAAATTGCAATCACAAGGTGAAAAAGAGCCTAAGCAATCTAATCCTGGTTCGATGGTTTCGACCGATCTACAATTTTCCCCAAATATGCCGCTTTCAAAAAAGCAAATTAAGCACATGTCCACAGAATCACAGCGAATAAAGCGAACTCACAAACGTACATCGTCAGTTTCATTATCCCGAGCCGATTTGGAAATCATTCGACCCCGTTCATTTGTCTATCACAAATCGTCGCTGTCTGCAAGTAGTATCAACAGTTCTACCAATCGTTCATCCTGTGCATTCGATTCAATACCTAGTGGGAACAGTGAATCCACTTCCATCACTTCATTGGACTCGCCTACCTCTGACAAGAGTAATAGATGCGATTCGAGAGCGACGTCTAGATCTGTAACATCGATGCAATGGGTCGGATTCAATAGTAAGATGATTGATGAACGAGATAAAGAGAGATACTCGCTCCATGTAAGAAACGCCTCCTATCGTAAGAGTACGATTTCAGAAGATGATGGATATGTAATTCGCGGTGATTACATTAATACCGCGGCTAATTTCGCTGACAGACGTTCCTACAGTGGAGATTTCATGAATTATGAGGACGTCACTCCTACGTATGACCCCCAGAAGAGGAGAAGCGCACTTCGAAGTTCACCTGGAAGAAGCTGCATAAGCGTTATTCCTGAAAAGGAAGATTTTACTGAGGACGTAAGAACCCGAGGTGTTGTTGATGGTATCATTAGCTCTGGAAATGATACACGAGAGGACAGTATCGTCGACAAGCACGCGAATCAAACGCATTATCCATCGCAAAATTTAGATGATTCGAGTGAATCACCCGTGTGTAATGAAGACGACGAGGTAGGCTCAAGAAAATCGAAAAGGTCATCCAAGAGAATTAGTAGGGTTTCCTTTGCACTCAAGGATGAAAAGATCGAGTTTGACGAAACCGAATCATCAAAAAGCGTATCCTTTGCTCGTGTTTCTGGACGGACATCAAGCCAGGGTAGTGAATCCAGTAGTGGGACACCATCAATAATTGAAGAAGAAGAGGATGGTGGATTTCCGAACTCAGTAACACCTAAAGCTAGCGACTTGAATCTTGAAAGCCTTCGTCTTTATAAAAGTGAGGATGAGTTCGATTCAATCGATACTCGCTTCTCCTTGAGTATGTTCGATATAGGCAAGGACCAATCAAAAACACATGATACTGCATCCAAAGTCCCTGCACCGCCAGTAGAACGAGTTGAATCACAGGAAGTTCGTCATAGCATCAAAGAACTTATGATAGACCAAGGAGTTTTATGGGCCTTACAGGATGTAGAATAATTATTCCAATTGAGAGATTTGACATTCCAGGATTCACTATTCGATTCAGTTGTCGATTCTTGTTCATAAAATTTCCCGCAAGCAAAAAAGTTGTTAATTAAATCAAAAAAATTTTTCACGTTAAAAAAATCCGCACTGTTATATATATTATATATATTGTATTCACCAAATGTATTCTTTTACTTGCTACACTCTTTTCTTATTTGGTTTTTTTAACCAACCTTAATACATTTCTTCGTGGAGCTGTAAATAACTAAAATCCAATCATACTTACCGCTCCCACAACATCGGAATATCTGATGCCCTTATCCTAACAAAAATCATCCTTCCACCTAAATATTTTTTTTTCCTTATAAAACTCCCACTTTTTTTTTTTAGATGCTCGATTTGTTTTGATCAATGTAGCTCAAGCCTTTGTTCGAAATAAGATCACTTTGACCGTCGAGGGTCATCTTGAAGTACATAGTAGATCATTATTTACTATTTTTTAAAAAAAAAATTTACAATAGACTTAGGCTTGACTTTTAAAGTCCTGTATTAAAGAAGAAATCATCTCTGAGTTGATTCTTTTGAAATCGTATATGTATATTTACACTTTTTTTCTGATTAATTTGTACAAATATATATTTCCCGACATTCACGAAGCGTTCTCAGAGTTAGATGGCTCACAAAATCACAACATCCAGTTTATTGTTGATTGAAAAAAAAATCAAGAGTTCATCCACTTGTTTAATAACTTGTTCTTTGTTTCGGAAAAAAAATATATATAGTTTTCAAGAAAAATAAATAAATTTGAAAAATTTCACAAATGAATCGAGTAAAAGGAAATGTAAAATAATTTATTGTTTATTCATTTGGGACTCATTACCGATAATAGTTCTTCCGACGAAAGTAGCAATAGATTGTATACATCATACCAGATGAAGATTTAATTTAATACACTCTCTTGAGACTTTTCAAGTATTCTAAACGGGATGGATTCTCGTCGGCCGGACCTGAATGAAAAATTATCACAGATTGATTATTATATTAAACTAATTGATAAATCAGAGAATTCTATGCTTTTAATATACATACGATTGATTGGTGTCCATTTTGGCTTTTCCTTAAACAATCCTGATCGAAGAGTTTTGTTAGTTTGCACTGGGAGAAGAAATTTCATGTTGCATTTAGGAATTAAAATTACTCATGGCTTTTATGCATTCTTTGTCGTCAAGACCAAAACGGTGGTAAATACCGGCCGGCTTAAATAAAAGTTTGTGATTAGAAATAATGATATCATGTGTATCGCATCATATTGAATTGGTCAAAAATCTTACCAAAATAAGCATGTCTCCTTTCTCTACATCAATGCGAATCCAGCGATCACGACTATCTGTTGTTTGTATGTCATTCAATGAATAGAATTCAAACTTGATGCCATAATGATCGTGTTGATTATTATCCAACTTTACCGCGAACGTCAAAGAAGCCAGATCCATCCAATATATACCGAATTTCTTCATCTTCATGAAGGTGTCTGAGTCATACAAAGTGAATATACAATATTAGCATTTGTCAAATTATTTAATTTACTTAATTCCTGAAAATGAGACTCTACTCTTGAAAGAACGTTTCCAACTTGCTGTCGTACAAGTCACCTAGCCCCTCACGGGAACAATTGATCTAATCTAATTAATTTTACGTCGTTTCCACAGTTTGATAAGGATGAGATCAACTACTAACTTCATCGCGACTGCTATAATTTCTTTCCTTTGCAATTTCATCTATCTTCTCAATACTGTTCTCTCCCTCGATGCGCCAGTAGAGAACTCCATAGTTTGCAAGTTCTTCAGGAGTGACAGGTGAAAAAGGAACTTGCTCATGCTGTTCCGGAGAATCAGTGTCGAGATAATACGCGCGCATGTTTTCAATAAGAGAAAGAATGATTAAGATGATTGATGGTTTTCTATGGTTTACTGATTACATCATTATTACCAAAATTGGAAATTTATTATAGTAAGCCAATAGATGATAATTAAGTCTAAATTACGAGTTTGCTTTTAAATACATTATTTCGAATCATATTTCTATATAAAAAAATCTCATGTGAATCTATGTAGCATTGTACCAAAGAAAATCAAATTTATGATAAAAAGAAACATCATTGTCTTATATGTAAGTTGAGTGACAAAAGCAGAAATTAGTCGTGCAATAAGACCGAGTACCACTTCGGTCGTTTTTATGGAATTGTATGGGTCTCGATTCATACATTTCTCCCACTTAGTGCAATTCTCTTCCAAGAACGGAGCTCTGGTCTCGGGCGCGCATCGATTTGTCACATAATTTATCGTGCATTTTTGCGCTTGATGATGGATCTCTAAATTTGGTTAATTAAATTCATGCCATTTAGACCGTTTGTAATTAAAAGAAAAACGCTTGGCAATCTTTGCTCATACCAGAAGCTATAATTTCAAATTCTTTATTAATGTCAGATCGAAAGATCATGACAAACTGAATGATACCCATTATGACGGACATCAATATCATCAAGAGGATTAAAAAGAAAGCAGCCTTTATAAGGAAATAAAGGTAGCTATAATATTGTAACAAATAAATTAGCAAATGGGCATACTATCATCAATAGAAACAACAATTCAACTTAGCCGTACCTGCATAGATCTTCCAAAAGGTAGCGAAAACAGCGCTTCTCATTAAAAGTTTGTCGCTGTTTCACCCATTGTTCAGATTTGTTATTTAAATCATGATAAAATGTGGTTTGTGGAGATTCAGAGAACGGTGCTCCAAATGGCATAAAACGTGGTATCGGCCCAACTTCTTCAGGATTGTTAATTCCTCTTCTTAAGGAAAGCGAAAGAGTTTGCTGTGGAACGTCATTGATGTAACTATCTTTCCTTTCCAGAGAAAGCGAAAGAGTCCGCTGTGATTCGCCCTCGGGGTCGTTGTCTTTCCTTTCCAAAGAAAAGGTCTGCTGCGAACTGTCCTCGGAGTCGTTGTCGTTCCTTTCCAAAGAAAGAGCGAGAGCCCGTCTTAGCATAGCCTAAGACATTATTTTAAAAAAAAAAAATTTAATTTCTATAAGTACGATCGTAAATGAAAGTATTTACAGGCGTACCTGCTCTTCGTCATCCAAGTATTCGTATCCCCCGATCCCCTGTACGCATGTCATAATATATGTGTAATTGTGGCTTAAGAAAGACGTGAAATCGTGAAATTCAAGATACTATCGATTTAGGAACGGCCTTTCGAACGGGTTCGACTCTCCTTTCTACAAAAGAATACGACAAAAGTGTGAGATCAAAATGAACGTGTATTCCGGAAGGATTCATTTTTAGTTGTGCATACTGAAGATATGTGTCGATCCTTGATAAATTAATTCGAGATAAAAAACTACTAATAAATAGACTCGGTGATTTGATAACCAATAAACGAAAAATAATTTTTATAAATTTAAAATTTTTAATTGATTAATTTGATTAAACTTATTAATTATAATACTTTTTTTTTTTAAACCCACAATCAGGTTGATATTGTTTTATTTATTAAATTATAGAATTATTACAAGTACAAGAATATATGTTAAGTATAAAATCTTATTAATTTAACTTATCTATTAACAGTCAAAGTCTTTAGATATGATTTATAAAAGTAATATGTATTTGTTTTTCTAATGAATAGAATTAAGATTCAAATTTTCAATAAAATCAAAATTTATAGATTACTTCTATAGTCACAATTATAAATTCAAATTGTATCAATCCTTTTTATAGAAATTATATAAGAAGAAAAAGATAAAAAAAATTATAGAAAAGAAAAAAATAATATAAATATATAGTATATAATTAAAAAAAAATACTAAAAAAAAGTTATTATTAATTTCAATTATTATTAAAAAAATTATCTCTGTAAACCAAAATCAAAGTTCTTTATAATTATTATATATTTATTTTTCATTACTTGTAATTAGTTAGACTGTTTAATTTTTATTAAAATATTAATATTTAAGAATATTTAAGAACTTTTTCAAAAAAATATTTCTTGAAACTTTATACTTAAAAATTTTTAATTAGAAAAAATATTAGTTTTCTATTATTAATTTCTCTTTCAAATCATGTTTTCTGAAATTATTATTTTATTTAACTAATAAATAGTTTCAAACCATCTTTTTTAATTATTTTTAAAATAAATATTATTATTTTAACTTGTTGTTAAATTAATATAAGACTTGAAATTTATATCTACTTCTTGCCTTTAGAAAAAAATAAAAAACAAAAAAAATCATTTTCAATTTTATTTAATACTTATATACTACTCTTTTAACTAAAAATTATTTAATTCTTTCAAAAACCAATTATATTATTGGTTTAATATTGTATAAACTGGAAATATATAGAAAAACATATCTTGTTTACTTTTTCTATAACTGATATTATCAATTAATATGTAATCTTAATTAATTATCTTTTAAAAAATTTAATATCAAACTAATATATATAAAAAAATTCCTTAGAAAATCAATAATAAAAATATATATAAAATAAAAAAGATATTAATAAATATATTAAAATATATTAAACAATTATTAAAGTTATAAGAAATTTAAAAATTTTTTATCAATAATATATTTAATATAATAGGTTTATTATGTATAATTGAACTATTAGAAATATTAGATATTTTTTTTTTTTTTTTTTTACCATCTTTCTAGTCTCCCGGTATTTTTCTGGGATATGTTTTAACGGTTGTTAATAATAATTCTAAATACTTGTGTTAGGCCTAAGTCTCTAAGTATAAATATTGGAAGTGAATAATTACTATATCAAGGCAAACAGATCTTTGCTAATTTGTCAGAATAATTATCATCTACAGCCATCACTATATTTTTCAACTATTCAGTTTAATCAAGACTTACTAGGATTTAGTCAGTGAGATATCATTGGAGGATAAGGATATATCAGTATATCAAATTTTCTTGAAAATCAGATCCAACCTTATCCTGCCTAATTTGACCTAGCAATACATGTAAGGAATTATATTTTATAGAGTTATATAGTCAACCATCACAAATATACCCCTTAGGATAGAACATCCTATAATACAAGTAATCTCCTGCATCCTTAACCAGATCCTTGTTACCATTGACCATATGAAACTTTTACTGGTAGTTATATGACTAATAGTTTTAACTATCTGTACCTTTCTTTCTACTATCAAAAAAATCCCATGAAACTTCTTTCTTCTTTTGGATATATTTCTTGAGCAATACTTGATAAGAAAGTTTTATCAATCAAATCATCTATCTTTTTGATCTATGGAATATAGTCTATTCTATATATGTGATAAAAATTGATAAATCCTTAATACAATTTGATGCAATTATTTGATGCAATTAATTGGATCATTATTAAAACATATAAAATAATTGAGTCAAACACAATTATTTTTGAAGATTTTGGTAATTGAGTTAATAGCAAAATAATTTATATTATATGTATAGTCTATCTATAAGGCTTCTTAATTACCGAAACAATTTAAATCACTCTTTATCATAAATTATGGGAGCAGTGACACAAAGTCCCATTTTTAGAATATATGAATTGCCTCCAGTTGGGTTGAACCATGGTTTATAAGTTAGTCCTACTCTGCCTTAGCCTATTGGATTATGACCAGATAGGTCTTATTAAAAATATTAGATATATTAAATATAATATATAATATATAGTTGTTATTATTAAAAAATATAAAAGTAATAAGAAAAAGATAAAACATAAATAATTAGAATAGAAATTATATATTTTTCAATTATTAAAATTATTTTATTAATAAATATTATATTATAATTTGCTTCAATAAAATATAATTAAAAAAATTATTATTGTAAAAAAAAAAAACAATAAATATTATATTTAAGACTTATAAGTAAAAATTAATATTAATTATTATAAAATATTAATTTTTTTTATTAAAAAAATAAAAAAATATCTCTTTTATAATAAATCATTATAATATAATTCTTAATTTTCAAATAAATATTTTTTTTTCTTTAATCAAACTGCTAATAATATATTTATTAATTCAATTCTAAACAATAATAATATAATATACAATATAATACTATACTAAAACCAAATAATTCTTTTATAATAGAATACTTATTAACAAGTTATAGATTTATATATGATTCTTGAATCCTTAATATCAAGATCAAATATGTGGTCATATTACTATAAAAAAATTTTTGATTGATAATATAATTTCAAATTAAATATAAATTTCAATTATTTACTATATGTTACTTGGTAATTTTATCATAATACAGTTTTTGAAAAATAATTAAATTCAATTTCACTACATGTATAATTAATACTATACATATAATAGAAATTGATAAATCCTTGACACAATTTGACGTAATTATTTGATACAATTAATTGAGTCACTATTAAAACATATAAAATAATTAAGTCAAATGCAATTATTTTTGAGGAT